TTCACATTTAATTTTTTAATGCACAACATATGTATTTTATTTTTATTTCATTTGTTTCATTCAATTATTTCTGTTTGTTGCTGCTTTTATTTTATTTACTGAAAGAGGGAATTTTTGTGACTTTTTTCTTTATCTTCTTGACCATCTTAAACTTACCAAGTTTGGAACATTTTAGCAAGCTGAAGGGAAAAGGATCATTTTTCAAAACAACCTAGGGGAAAGGAGAGGTTGTAATTATGTCCTACGGTGGGTGATCAATTGCTTGTATAATTATGTTCACTTCTAATTAATTGTGCTTAAGGCTTTGATTAAATTGGCGTGTTCCCTTCTTAGAGCAGCTGGTAGGACGACGGTGCATGCACTGGGTGATGATGTCACGGCAGTCTTGGATGTCCTCAGTGTCCACAGTGTAACAAGTGGCGGGCGCCCATCTCCACCAGCAATGCTGATTCTCAGAAACACATCGGAAGGCAGTTTGAAGTACTTTCCCTGGTCAAGCGTGCGTCCTCTCCAGCCCCGGGAGTCGCATCCTCAGGAGTAGTGTAACGAGTGAACCTGGAAAGTAGTCCTCTACTCTGATTTTCCAGCGAGGGCTTGCTCAGCAAACAGATCATGCTTGTTGAGTAAAAGATTCACAGATATGGTGCACAGTCATTTGTTGTTCCAGATGTTCATGAGGAGGTCAGAGCCTCCTACTGGCAGTAGGTCTGGCTGTCCTCCCGATGACTGCGTTCTAGCTGCTGCTAGGCAACACGAAGATGATGGCAGTCACATCACTGACGCACTGAATCAGCCTATAGTGTTCATCTAGCTGGCACCTCACATCTAACACGTGGAAGTGGACTTTGTCCACCTGGAACTAGGTCTCAAAGATTCCAGAGGTCAGAACTCGCCAGCAAAGCAGGTCCAGGTATCTTGGCAGGTTGTTGGCCTGCTTGATGACATCAATCTGATCCAGAAAGTACTGGGCGCAGTCAATGAGCTGATACTCACTGGGGCGCTCATAACGGGCACACTGCCCCACAGAGCCTTGGCATGCTCCCAGAATTCAGGTGGGAAGTCAAAGTCCAGACTCGACCTTTTTAAAAAAATATTTTATTTATTACAAGTATTATACGAGGTTGTGCACTGTTTCATTGGATTCTAACTGATTTTTAATATTCTAACTTATTTATGAAGAGAGAAGGAGCACAGCAGTTTTACCTCTTATCACTGAAACGGAACAGGCTCTCTGCTTTTCCCTCCTCACAGAAGAGTCTTAGGTTAAATTAGTAATTTCCATTTTCTTAGAAACACTATTTTTTAAAAATTTTTGTTATTTTATGTGTATGCTTGTATTATCTGCATGTAGGTAAGTGCACCCATGTCCTGCAATGCCCGCGGAGGACAGAAGATGCTGTCGGATCCCCTGGAACTGGAGTTACGGACAGTTGTTAGCTGCCCTGTGGGTGCTGAGATTCGAACCCAGGTCTTCTGTGAGAACAACCAGCGTTCTTAACTGCTGAGCCATCTCTCCAGCCCCCAGACCTGACCTTTTATCACACAGGGTGCACCAGGTTGCATGGTCACCTCAGTGGTTTCAATGGCCTCCTTCAGGTTGTTTTCTGATGTTCTGCCCTTACAGCCTGTGGGTTCTCTTTGCTGCCCTCTCTGAGAAACCCACTAGCATGCAGGATCCTTATATGCTTCCCGGTAGTGCTTTTACCAGATTCTCCAGCAGCAGGCGGTACACCTTCTTGTTCTGCAGCTGCTTCTCCATCTTTTTGTTACCTTCGCATGGTGTGTTTTCCTTGTCTTTTCTTACTGTTCCCAAGGCATCCTGTGGCTCTGCAGGGTGGGGCTGGTGGTCCCTTTCGTCCAGGAGAGGTCCAGAAGCACCAAGCAGGGGATGTGGGGCATTGGGGAGGTGGGGGCACCCGGACCTAAGGGAGCGACGGCTCTCCACCCCTCCAGCAGAGGCCCAAGGGACTCAATGCTAAGGAAGGGGCTGGGTGGACAGATACGGAGCTGCTCCAGCATACAAATATTTATATTCCTGGGTTTGTAATAAAATTTTCTTAGGAAAAAGGGGTTGCAAATTTCAAAAGCTTATGACACTCTGTATTACATGATTTTTGAGAGGAGTGTCTCATTCATCTTTGTGTAATCATTGTACACAGTGTGTGTTGTAGGTATCCATTGCTTTTGAATAACTTTAAATATTAGATGTACTTCCAAATGTTAGGTGAGCAACTATGTATGTTCATTTCCTAATATATGCTGTTTTTAGAAACCACAATTACAATGTAGAATGGCAAAATCTGTGTACTTTCTTCTCAACTGGAATTCCAAGATAAACTATAGAAAAGATCGTTTTGATAACGAATTCAAAATTCTAATCAAGAAAGATGTGGTCATCCACTGGAAGGTCTAATGGAAAACACAAGAATCTAGTAGTGTACTGTCTATTTCTATAACTATGAATTTGGATATGATGAAGGAAGATTCACTTAAACATAATCAATAGCTTTTGAAATGTGTCAAAGTCATATATACGTGTAACATTATGTATGTAAATCTGCCTGGCTTTTGCTTCTCTGGCTCCCCAGATTCACAATAGGAACCTCATTCATGTGCTTTTGTACTTACAAGACGGCCTTGCACATGGCACACTTGTTACCATGGGTCTTGCCATCTGGGCCCCGCACAGGATCATTTTCTCTTGTGCAGAAAAGTTCTCCATCTTCCAAAAGACTCCTAAATTCACTGCAGTTAACCTAAAAGAAGAAAAGGCAAGAGTTTAAATATTATCTTCACTATTGCTTTTTTGAGTTCCTATTAAACACTTTCTGAGACAGGAAAAGAGAATAAAAACTGGCTTATGCATTTTTCCTGCCTGTGATAATTGTGTTATTCGTTTCCTACTAAGCACATGGGGAATGGAAATGGGTTGGCATGTTTTTACATTGGAATTGAGACCCCCTTATCCAGAATGAGCCTGCAGTCAAACACCTTAGAATCTCTAGATTTGCTTTTATATATTTTTTACATTTATTTAGATTGTGTGTGTGTGTGTGTGTGTGTGTGTGTGTGGTTTTATGAACAAGCCACTGCTCATGAATGGAGGTCAGAGGACTACTTGCAGTTATCAGTTTTTCTCTTCTACTATATGAATTCTAGAGATCAAACTCAGGTTGTCAGGCTGGATTTTTCTGAGAAATGGACACAGTCCTTACTCAGGGATTTATGTCCCATCTCTATTCTGAAAATAGCACATATGGTCCTGGAGACCAATAAGTGAAGATGAAATATCGTATGTCCTTTAGAAAAGTCAAGAAAAATGTTCTTCCAAATTAGATTCCCTCGGATATTTAGACACAGCTTGGCTTTCTCCTCTGCCTCTCAATATTCTCTTTCAAGAGCCAGATATACTCAGATATTTCAGTTTTTCTATTTGTGACATTATTTCAATATGATCTTGTTCTCTGGATTCTCCTCCTTTCCTAAAGAATTTAAAATAAAGTCCTAAGTATGGCCCAGCAAACACGACCATGCTCATGGCTATGTCAATTTCTTAAGTTCTAATTTTGCTGCCAAGCAACTTTGAGTGAGGGCTCTTGCCAATCTGTGGTTCAATAACCTCATCTATAAAATGGAAATGAATGTCCATTCTTCATTATTAAACTAATGATCACTATGCTTTAAGTATTCAACATATGTTCATAAATCCTGGTGGTTAGAATCTAGAAAATACTGGTATATGTTAGCTCTAGAATGGAGCTGAGACAGAATAAGCAAATCACTTATGACCTAAATACTGGTTAACAATTAGGGTTGATTTTTTTTCTCCTCCATTCTTCAGACAAACTGAAATTAAATAATAATGACAGTGTAAATCTCCCATCCTACTTCTGCCTCTGGACTCACTGCCAGACCCCTACACTGCTCATAATTTTTGCAAAAGAAATATGAGATTGGTAAGTATTTTTCTATTGTGGCCAATACAATGTTGGAAATTGTGTCATACTGAAGAACTTTACTTTGAAGACATTGAAAAGTTAAGCCACTCACATTGTTTTAAAATTCAGATTCACACTTGCATGAAAGACAAGTAGAAGCAAGCAATCTTACAGCTTCAAAATACAATGCTTCTTCAGAGATCTGTGTGTGTGTGGGGTGGGGGCTATGTGTGGCTGTGTGTGGCTGTTTGTGTGTATGCTATAAAAGCCTTTGTTGGGTACAGAAAAATGACAACAGTCTGTTGGAGTTAGTCATTTTGAACTCAAAATATATTTCTGAATGATGCTTTATTTAAAAAAAAATTTTCCCCTATAGGTTGACATTCAGAAAAAAAATCAAAAGTAAAGCAAAAGTGTGTTAGGAAGAATGCTGGATCCATGTTTTTATGTAAGAACTTTGAAGTATGAACATATGGGTCCTGATACCAATACATCACTAATTTTGTAATCAAGTTCTTTCTTCCCTTTGTATTTAAATTTTCATTTTACTAACTGAGAATGAAGCATATCTGGACCTGTGTTCTGTGAATAATATTCCTCCTGTCCTCACTGATCTTTATGATTAAAGATCTAAGAGAATATAGCCATGCCAATGTGTTTGTTTAATGTATAGCTGGTTTTGTATGTACAACTGCAGAGCTGATAGTGGTCGCAGTGACTTGTACAGCCACAAAACTGAAATAATCTACTACGAGCTCTTAAAGAAAGGACTTCATGGCAGGAGCATTAACCAAAACTAAGGGTGTGTGATAAAGTCATATGAAAGTCTATTATTCTGTAAGCTAATAAAAAATACAAATAAAAAATAACTTTGCCAAATTCTGTACAAAATGCCCCCATGGTCCTTCACATCTAGGGCCTTCAAAAATTCCATGAGTGATATTTACAGCAAAATGTCAAAACTTTACCCTTTCACTGTAGTTTGAACATTCCAGGATACCTACCTTTTTAATGTCTCTTTTAGCCTTTGTTCTGGAACCAGTTGCATTTTCCTTTGCTTCTTGCTGGCTGCAAAAGAGGGAGGGGCAAGAATCATTTTATCAATAAGGGAAAATCTCTCTAGGTAGAACTCTTCCATTACTTCTGTACCTCAGCAGCTTATCTTGGGAACATAAAGCAAATGAATACTGTTCTCTGTATCATTGTTCCTGCTTTGCTTTTAAACATCACTTAAAAAACAAGAAAGAAGTTCCATAGCAAACCAGTAAATATGTTTCCCACCATATTTTTTGGTGAACTGGGATACTATCTTTCTTCCCAGAAAGTGACTAGGATAGTGATTGCGTATTATCAGACTTTTGTCTTGGTATCATTTAATGATTATGCCTTTGTATAAATTTATGATAATACATCCCCAAATTCTGTGCAAAGAAAGACAGGCTTCCTTGTTTGACTGGAGCAAGCCCTCAAGTTGTCCCTACACAGCATTGTCTGCAGCTGTACTCACAAGAAGGCCTCACACATGGAGCAGATGTTTCCATAGATTTTCCCGTCTAGCCCCTTGATGGGGTCATCAGTCTCTGTGCTGCAGGCGAGCTGGCCCTTCCTCACATGGGGACGGAATGTACTGCATAGCTCCTGTCAAATGAAGGAAGATTTGAGAGCCAGAAAAGTAAACACTGGAAACCTTCCCCGAAGTGTCCCCTAAGGAGACTGGGATGTCTTACAACAAAATATCATGGATGTTCACAAATGGTGAGGCAGGATATCAATTTCAGCTGATATTCTGTACATAGGTTTAAGTAACATATTATTTGGAACATAATATCACTATTAGAATGATTAGGGAATCTTCCATTAAAATATTATTCTGAGTTAGGAACAATTAGAGACACAAAAAATCATAACATTATCTCAGATCGGTAATTTGTAGTATGCAGAATAATAGCCAGTTTGAATCCCTAAGGAGTCATGTAAAATGCCAGGCATCACTGTATATGCCAATAGCCCCAGCATTGAGGGGCAGTGACAGGCAGATTCCCAGAATTCTTAAGCAAGTCAGACTACCTAGCTGAAATGGCAACCTTCTAGTTCAGGGAGAGACTCTGTCCCTAGACAATAAAGCAGAAAGTGAAGACGTCCTGCTGACAATTCTACATGCACAGACATGCATACTCACAAATTCATGTGAATCTGTCACATGTGCATGTGTGCATGCACACACACACACACACACAAACACACACACACAAACACACACACACACACTACCACCACCATACACACAAATGAGAAAATGAGATCTTCCAAATTAAAAAAAAAAAAAGAGAGAGAGACACGGACTATATAAAAGCTTGACATCCATGGTACAGATTATAACAAATGAAATAAGGATAAATAAAGTTACTAGGAAGATTTCTTAGACATGGGTATTCAAATGCATTTCCCCACCCTGCAAAGTCACTAAGGATGATGGGGCTTGAGATCGCACAGGGAGACTGATGAGTGAGCATAAGCATGCATGCGGCTCTGATGAGCTGAAGCAGCTACCTGTACTGTTTCTCTCTTCACCTTCTCTGTCTCAACTCTTTCCTTCTCTTCCTCATGGTTCTTTTTCTTTTCTTCTTCTTCCAGTTGGCTGCAAGAGAAGGCACAAGCTAAGCCAACTCTACAATTACATGGATAGGTTTACAGAAGGAAGTGGACTGCTTCCCCACAAATTTGATAGCTCAGCAGGTAAAAGCACTTGCTGCACAAGCCTAATGACCTGAGTTTGAATGCTGGGAAACACAGTGGAAGGAGACAAATGACTCTTGGAAGTTTTCCTCTGAGCTCCACACGTGCACCTTGGCATGCTCTCACATACACATGAATACGCATCATATACATGTGTACACCACACACATACCACCCCCCCATATACACACACAATAATGACAAAAATAAATGAAAAAAAAGTCTTCAGGACAAATGTATAGATCCAAGAGGTGTTAATACTTTGGTCACTATGCAAAGAAAGTAGTCTATATTCTCCATTTAAAAAATAATGACAATAGCATACTATACATTTTAGCAGTATTAGGCCTTCAGGAATTTTTTTTTTTTTGTAGTAGAGTGACTTCAAACTATAAGAAGTCACAATTGTCTTTTTTTTTTCTAAAATGTGAAACTTTTCCTACACAAGGTAGCCCTATATCAATGATGGAAGCAAGGAGTAATGTCGAGTGAGATGATGGGCCCATCAAAACATAACGGTTCACCATGAAATAAAACTTTAAGTATTTTAACAGAGCTATTGCTCACATTACAATTCAAATTTTAGGTTTCAGTCATGATAGAGGCCCAGTAAGATTCAGTAACTTTTTGCTGTCAACCACAAGCCTAAAATATTCTAGGTTTTTCTTTGTTCTTTGTTTTTTGTTTGTTTGAGACAGTGTCTTGTCATGTAGCCCATGCTGCTCTGAAGCCCATGAGCTTCTTGCCCTAGCCTCCAAAGTGCTGAGATTACAGGTGTGCACCAACCCGTGCAGCTTTATTCTTGCAGTTTTCTACTGACATATAGCATGTCCAAACTCATAAAGTCTTAGAATTTACCACATCTGGTCATCAACATGGCACCATCAAATTGAACAAATGAGAAAAAAATGTCATTCCTAAGTCTTAGACCATTCCTTATCCAATTGCCCTACTTATTCTCAATCAAGCTTTTAAAGTAACCATATGCACATACTTAAGGATGGAGCAAGCTGAGGTGTGAAAAGCGGAGATAATCAACAACTTTGTGTTTTAAACAGATATAACTTATAGGCGATTTTTAGCATATATTTTAGGGTAACTCTCAAAAAAGGATCAAGCTTATGATCAACTTAACAGTGTTAGCTGCTAAACAGTTGCAGACCGGACTCCTGGTTGCATTATGAAATGTGAATAACACAACTTCTTAATTGTCTTACACGATTGAACTCTGACAAGTTTACCCATACCACATGGCAAAGAAAGCCCTACAAGACCCTTAGTGGCTTGGGTATTTTAGTTCGTGGCCTGCCTATTAGGGGTTTTACTCTACAGTAGGCACCTAGCAAAGCATGCCTTTCACCTACATAGAGTAATCCTGTCCCTAAAGGATAAATACAGTGCTGACCATTCTATTTCTAGTTCAGGGAATTTAACAGTCTTCATGTAGCATCACACCTCTCCATCCTACTTATTTTCCTTTAATGCATATCTGAATATATCCATAGAATTACCACATGTCAGAGGTAGGAGGGAGGCAAAAACCAGCATGTGATCCAGATCAGGAGACTTGCCCCTTCTCATTGTTAAAAACAAAGTATGTCAAGTGTTTTTAAAAACATTTAAATTAAGATGAGTCTGTCCATTTGACATAATTAGAAGTTAGAAAGATAAGCAAACAGAAAATAACACCATTCTAGTTTTCAATACTACTTAATATCATGTCCATCTGCTTTTTAGATTTTTCTAGAGTACAGCCTATGGTATACATGCATGTTTATATGAAGATTCTCAGACCCAGGGATGAATAACAAGAAAGAATTCAGTGGCAGAGGTGAGATACTTACAACACAGCTGCACACATGGCACACTTGTTTGTATGCATTTTGCCATCTGGGCCAACAACAGGAGCATTCTCCCTGGTGCACATGAGGATTCCATCCTTTGCTTGGTCCCGGAATTCATTACAGCTTTCCTGGAAAATAAAGAATATATATTTCTAGCACTGTTACTACTTTTCCTGTGTCTTTGCCTATTGTGGGTAATAAATAATGTAGCAAAAGTCGAAAGAAAGATGATAATGTTGCAATAAATAACTAAGTATAAAGTGCCTATAAAGGGTTCATATGTACAGTGGAATATTTCACAAGTATAAAGAGAAATGAGCTGAGGCTACCAGAGAGCCCCTCACTAGCTGGGGTGAGTTACCAAATCCCCCATCATGTTTATTCCCATTTTGGAACCATCTCCACTCCCACTGTTTTGGAACTTGAACCTTCTCTGCTAGTTAGTAAGAAACAGCCTATCCTGTCCCCATTGTCTCTCTTTGGGTCTTGGCCCTGTCCCTCCAAGGCTGCCAGAGAGTGCCTGACCAGCTGGGAGAGATAGCCTGATCTTCTCATGCAGGGTCACTACTCCCCTGCTATGAAGATCAGCCCCTGTCCCTTGGCTCCAGGGATCACACCTCCTTTGCTTAGCTAGTTAGAACAGGCCCAGCCTATACCATCACCTCAGCTTTGAGCTATATTCTTTCACCTTCCTGGAGGTCTCTTGACTAGATTGCTTGGATTCATCTGGTCCCTCCAATAAAATAACTCAGAATAGAGAATCTTGAAACCCAGACCAGCTAATGATTCATATCAGACCAGAAAACAACTAAGCTACATCAACATTATAAACAGAATCAAACCTCAAATCAACACAGGCAGGCTTGAGTTTCATACCAGAACAAAAGAAATCAATATGCCCAGACAGAACAAAAAACACAAATAATATATAAAACAAAAATAATGTGTCCTCACCAAATCCCAACAGAGACAGAGGCAGGTGGATCTCTGTGAGTTCAAGGCCAGCCTGGTTTACATAGTGAGTTCCAGGCCAGCTGGGGCTATAGGGAACCCTGTCTCAAAAAAAAAAAAAAAAAAAAAGTGGTGGGTGAACCATTTTTTTCAAATCTAAATTACTAATGAGATTATTTCAACTAACAAAAACACTTACTTATTGAATGATTTTTATTTTGTGCATGAGTGTTTACCTGCATGTATGTAGCTACACCATGTGTGTACAGTACCCAGAGACCAGAGGAGGGTGCCATGTAACTAGGATTACAGACAGTTGTTAGCTGCCATGTGGGTGCTGGGAACTGAACCTGTGTCCTCTGCAAGAGCAGCCAGTGCTCTGAACCACTAAGAAATCTCTACAGCCCCTAGTTATTTATTTTTATTAATGAGTCAGTTTGAGGGTAAAATTTTAAACTATGTCAACTTTCCAGAAATGATTTATTTGATACATTTATAGGATTTAAAAATACAATAAATAGGGTAAATCTGGTATATGGTATGTGATTGTAAACCACAGTTTATACACAGACAGATTTGACTTTGCTATCTAAAAGTTCTCCCTCATATGTGGATCCTAGAACCAGACTCTGATAAATAAGTATGCAACCAGACATAGCTACAGAAACCAGGAAAATGGAAACAGGAAATAATGGAAAGGAAACAGGGAGGTAAAGAAAAAGAAAGAACATGAAAGAGAAGAACAGTAGGAAACAGGCCTTAATAAGTGTGATATGGATCAGAATTGGGTTAGCATAAGGGAGTGGGTGAAGGAAACTAGGGGATGAAGGGAAAGAAGGAGCTCAACAGAGGTAGGATCATAGGAGCAAGGGTATTAGTAAGGAAGAAAGGGGGGGGAGTGGGGTCACCTTAAGTGGGAAAACCATGACAGAGGGATGAGACATTACAAGAGAGAAACAATGCCTAGCTAATAACAAAAACTAGAGGGAACCATATTACTCCTACAACCTACTGACAAATTACACATAGCAGATCAAGATATATATGTCTAGGTAAGGTTTCTCTGAGAAAAACTGATCTTTGCCCAAAATTTATCTACATGACACACAGTAATTAAAAATACCAGACTGGTGGAACTAACCTTCTTTGGTTAGATAACATACTTTGAGGTCTATAATAATTTGGTCAGAGGGACATAAAGGACAGTTTTTGCTCCTTGCCCTCCTAGGTCGACTAGTTCCAGGGGACTATGAGCATCTCTCAAAATGTCCTATAATGGTAGTGGGTCACCTGTCCTCTTGATCAAGGAGGTCGAGGAGATCCACCAGATGAACTTGAACCAGTGTCCAGTCTATAAAATGGAGGGTCAACACAGAGGAATCATTTCCTCCATGCTTCCAAGCGAAGCCAACAGTGGTCAAGCAGAACCTTTGACTTATCTTCACATAGGTCGAACTGGTAAAAGAAAGGAACCAGGGCCTCCTCCCGAGCCCATGTGATCCCTGAGGAACAGGTCCTCAAATGACCTTAAGAGTAAAAATAAATTGGTTTTATCTGTACCAACTGTATGGCCTTAAACACCCAAAAGGAAAGTATAACCAAAGATTAAATGGGCCAACATAATTTCATAAGAGTCCATATGTATATCTAAAGGCTACACAACAAGCAACAATGCCAGACAAGCTATACCTTCTTTTGAGTTGATGCCCAGGGTGGCCAAAAGGATTCCCAGATAGTAACCCAGCATAGAACTGGGAAAATGAGCAGCAGGCCCCAATCTTATCCAAAGGACTGTAGACAACTGATTACCGCTAGATGAAGAACAGCTGACCCTCCTAAAACAAAAACTTCTAGATAGGCTGACTAGATTCATCAGAGGGGCAAGTAGTGGGGAATGGCTGGGGGTGCTGGCAATACAGCAGACGGTAGCAGGGATATCAGAATATAAGGGCTCTAGTGGGAGAAGGGAGGCTATGGGAGGGTGCTACCTGGGAAGTGGGGGTATATCCATTGTCAGATGCCAAGGAGTTCAGAAAGTAACCGACTGTGACTAGTAATAACCAGATATATAGAGATTAGAAACACATGTGCATCGTAGTGTCAATTGTATTAAAAATAAATTTTTCTGTATGAAACTGTATTTTAATAATGAAATGGAAATCTTTTTTAAAGTTTAAAACCTCATTTAATTTTATGTCTTATAGAGGTTATACGGAGTACAATATTGTATACAGCCAATTTTGAAAGAGATGCATCTTACCTCTGGAAATTGTTATTGAATATGTCAATGCTGTTGTAATGAAATGCTTCTTCTAATTATATGGTCATTAAATGAATAATTTTAAAAAATTAAAAAAAATAGAGTATAAACAAAGAAGGCAGACTAAGAATGATTGGAAATTCGAAGGAAGCTTAGCTTAACATTGGTCACTGGGGTGAAGAAAGCCAGTACCTTTCCCTGAGCAGGGTAGTGACAGAAGTCAAATATGACAGTTCACGTGATGTTTTTGTAAACTGGTGTTGTTGGAATCTTGTACTGTCCATTTGTAGTTCTAGCAGTACTAATGATGTAAATTAACATTAATGACCTGCACAAGCTAATATTGACAATCTGTGCCTAACAAAAGAAATCTAACAAAAGCCAAATACATGGAAAACCTCTCACAGAGTTAGCTCTCCAATTTTTTTCATTATATGAGCCTCAAAATTAGAGTAATAATGAAATAAATTTAGTACTTTTTCAAATTAAAAGTTATTCCTCTCTCTCTCTCTTTCTCTCCTTCACCTCTCCACCTTCCTTCTTTCCCACTTTCACCTTCTCCCTCAGCCTCCTGAATAGCTGGAACTAGGGGTGTGGGCCAAGGTTCAAAGTTTTGTTTGTTCCTGTCAGGCATGAAATTCAAACAAGTATTTATGCTAACTGCTAATGAGATAACTAGATTGTTAACTGTATAACAGAAAGGTCAGAGCACAGGCTCATAGTCTGAGAAAAATACCTTTACAGCTTCTCTTTTAGTCTTTGCTCTTGCTTTGTCTTCTTGAATGCTATAAGGAAAAGGAAAGGAAAAAGTGTGAGGAAGCAACCTTAACCCAGTAGAGTAGTTCCTTGACGTCCATAGGCTCATCATCATTCAGTGCTATGACTATTCTCAAGCCACCCCAAAGGCTTACACATCAAAACCTGTCATTTTATTATAATAAACTGAAATTCTTCAGTTGTCTCAAAAACTTGGTATGAAAGAGGAGGTCTTTCAATAAGTAATTCTTCTTTACTTCCCAGCCTATGTCCTGTAAGGACATTTCATATTTCCTCATTCTAGTTCTTCTTTGATCATGTGATCAAAGGGGTAAAATTTGAGTTCTGTGAGGCAGAACTGGGTTTAGAGGAAATAATCCAGATCAAACACTGCACGGAAAACATGAATTGTCTCATTATGTATTGTATCTCTCGGTGTCTTTATTTTAATTGGTGATGGGAATAGGTAAAGCAAAAGAGAATTCCTTTCTCATAGAAATGTTAGAGATATTATGCAGGTTCATTACATGACATTACATGAAATTAAGATTTATGCTTGGTCATAGCAAAGTGACCATTATAAGTGATAAAAGGAGTTAATACCATCATTATTGTCATCATTATAAATGAACGTTCAAAAAACTTGCTATGACAGAAATGAAAACAGTGGTAAAACTATATTTTCTGAATAACAGTGGTATAAATCAAGCTTAGTGGTCTGTGTCTATATCGTGATTAAGGGATATGTGACACAAATAATTCATTCAAAATTTCATAATTTGTGGAAATTACTTAATGTACTCTAATCAACATAAGATTTGATCATCAATCAAATTAAAATGATTTTAAAATTAGAAAAGAGTGAGCATCATCAAATTAATTTTCTATCTAAAAGATTTTTAGTGTTCCCAGGCTCAGATCTAGTGGAGAATTCTCCTGAATGACATAGTTGTCAAAGAAAATTGAAAAATTACATCAGTTTGGAGACACAGAAAATAAACTCAGGTAGCATTTTGCTAAAAAATTAAGAGAGTTCATGAGAATTATACACTCATGTTAGAGAAGCTGTATAATTTCACCTATTGTAAAATCATATTTAAATCCCCCACAAGTGGACAGTCAACTCATACACATAAAAGCCACCATTCTTGAATCTTTCTATCTGCTACAAATGCATTCTTCATGTTGACCCCCAAACTTCCTCTCTACAGCCATCTCTTCTACTTTAGTTGCTCAAGTTCATATAGAATAAGTAGAAAGAGAAGCCAGGCATAGTGGCGTGCACCTTTAATCCCAGCACTCCAGAGGCAGAGGCAGGCAGATCTCTGTGAGTTCAAGGCCAGCTTGGTCTACATAGTGAGTTCCAGGACAGCTGGGGCTACAGGGAGACCCCATCTCAAAAAAAAAAAAAAAAGAATAAGTAGAGAAAGAAATACCAAGGCTGGAAAAACTAAAAAAAAAAAGTTCCCATGAATGACAATGACAGACTATATGTTACCTCATCCACTTTTGTATTTTAGGTAGTGATTTTTCTATAAACTAAAAGCAATAAGTCTATTATAGAACATTATTTTCTTTGGGTGAAAGATTCTAAGTTATTGCTAAAATGTCACTGAAGAAATCATTTGGTATCTTTTAAACTTTTTTCTAATTGATAATTGTATGCATTTAAGGGGTACAATGTGATTTTTTTATTTATTTGTACATCTGAAATGATTGAATTAGGTTAATAACCTCACACCATTTTGGTGGTGAGAACATTTGAAATTTAATCATTTAGCAGTTTTGAAATATTTGTTATTAACTATCAAGTGAATGTAAAAAAACTGCTTCTTTTCAGCTGACTATGCCTTTTGATCTATGTCCCCTCAGTCTTCTTGCCCATGCTTCTCCCTTTCTACTGCCTGCTTCTTGAGTGTGACATTTTGAGACTCCACATATAAGTGAGATCATGTATCACTTCTGTGTGTGTGTATGTGTGTGTGTGTGCGCGTGTGTGTGTTGAGTATTTTTCAACTATTATATCACAATAATTATAATCTAAAGTAATCCAAAAAGTTTTCTATTTGTGTTTAGTGCTCTTTTTTTTGTCTTTTAATCCATTTAAATGTGGCTCTAAAAAATGAGTGTTCAAAAAGAAAGTGAATTATTATCTACACTTAAGAACAAGAAAACAAAACCTTCCTATGGTAGTTGCCATGCTCCTATCCCTCACAAGCCCCATGGTCCTGCTTCACTCACAAAAAGGCTTGGCACATGGAGCAGGTGTTGCCATGCATTTTGCCATCTGGGCCTTTGACGGGGTCATTCTCTTTGGTGCAATAAAGTTGCCCGTTCTTCCTGGACTTGCGGTATGTACTGCAAAGCTCCTGTGAAATGAAGGAAGGAAAATGGAGGTATTGAACATAGGTCAGTTAGATCACAGAAGTTTCTGAATTGTCCTAGAATAGTTCTAAACTTTGAAGAAAAGCCTGACTGTTTGTAAGTGATAAAACTTGAAAGGAGATCAGGAGATTTTAAGATATCCTGCAGTTGATGAGCTATGTGTGGGGTTTTAGGATTTTGTTTTGTTTGTTGATGTATGTGTGTGGGTATGTTTGTGTGTGTCTTTTTGTCTGATTGAAAACAGGCTCAGAGGTCAAAGATAAATTTCCGGAGTTGGTTCGCGTAGTCTGCCTTCTTAAGGCAGTTCTCTCTTGTTTCCATTGCAGCACTGAGCACTCCAGACTAACTGGCCCATGAGTTTCTGAGTGATTCTCCTAGCACAGCCTCCCTCTCAGAGTAAGAGTGCTGGGACTAGAAACCCCCACTTCCAAATTTTTAATAAATGCAGGTTCCAGGGACATCAATCATATTTAAGTACCCCACAAAAAACTCAGGTTGTCAGCCTTGGCACCTGGCACATTTTCCTGTTCAGTCCATCTCCCTGGCCCCTAAGTATGGGTTTTAAGAAGAATGGCATTATGCAGGCTAGAGTTCATATTAGCTCATAGTCCAGAGATGTAATGATTCCTTGGAAAGTAGTTTGTAATGGCTAATAACATCTATAAGTGAAGAAATCAGAAGGGCACAGTTTTTCATACTCCACTAAGTTCTTTTATTGACAGTAAGATCCTATCAGTATCACTTGTCTTTCAACTCAATGCCCTTCCAGACTGAAGAGTTGAGGCTTTCTGCCAGGCTCTGTTAGACCTGTTCAGTTAAAATGAAAAATGGGATTGATGGATGGGTTCCACTCACCGCATATGAAGGTGACTTTTCAGATCCCCTTTTGCTCCTTTTGTCGGCTTCAGCCTTCTCTTCTTCTGCTTCTGCTTCACTGAATGAAGAAGAAAATAAAAAGATCCACTGATTTCTGCCCCTGACTGTATTGCTGACCTGTTCTCCCTTCTTAGTTTAGGGATGAATATTTTTATCTCTTTATTGCTACACGTCAATGAGAAGTAACAAACGGCTATTAGTATGGTATGATCCCACAACATCTTCAAAGTTTCCACCTCACATCGAAAGAAAACTATCTGGAAAATTGCTTTCTATAGTTTGTTTTTCTTGTCTATGCTAAGGAAAAGTTTATCAAAGTCCACAAAGAAATTATCAAAACTGGAATCATGGTGACATTAAACCTAGAGGCTGAAAAATGGCCTTAAAACAGCCCACTACACATCCTCCTGGTTTTCAGAGGAGACAGATGATAAGTCAAGGACTCCCTGTGGTGGTGAAGCAAAGGTACCTGAATATGCTTTGTACAATGGAATTGTATTGCATATGGTTAACTGATGATATTTAAAACATATACAGTTATCAATAAAAATATTTTCATACTCCAAATGTAGTCAAATACTTAAGCTATTTCAACCAAATGACATGAGTGGTGCTCTAAACAGTGAATGACAGTCTTTAGATGTAACTTACTAAGAAATGTCAGACTACCATTTAAGGTAGTTTTATAGGAGTTTATGTTATTTGTGGACCACTTGACTCTGTTCAACTATGTGTTAAATGCTAGTATTGGACCCTCATCCTTGTAGAAGATGCCTATAAACTACTCACATGGGTTCACATATGAAACTTCAGCATGAAAGATAAATAATATCTATGTAAGTTCATGTTTGTCACACGTTTCCAGTGCTAACAGACAGAAAGTGACAGAAAATAAGGCATCTTAAAGAAAGTGACTTCTATACTTACTTCCCGCCCTTTATTATTAACCTTCTCCCTATAACTCATTCAACTTTTCTTACTTTGCTCCAGATTTCCTAGTATGAAATATGTTAATTTTATTAGGCCATGTGTAAGGTGTCCTCTTTCTTTGACATCTCAAAAACTCGGTACTCACAAGAAAGCTTGGCACATGGAACACAAGTTGCCATGTGTTTTGCCGTCTAGACCACGGATAGGGTCATTTTCTCTGGTACAGAAAAGTGTTCCATTCTTTGCACGATCCCGGAATTCACTACAGCGTTTCTGAAAACAAATGAGATACTTTAAGCACAGGACTATAGAGTCTACTTTTGTAATTTTAAGTGTTGTTTATAAAGAAACTAGGCAAGAAGAATTAAGGCTGAGAACCAATAAAGATTTATAACTATTCAAAAATTGTGATAATTCTTTCTGTGTAATGCTCATAGACTTACACATTCAAAAAATATTTTAAGGGGATATCAATGTGAATAATATTAGTTCCTTTCACAATATACAAATTAGGAGTATAACTGGATCTGAATTAAGTCCGTACTCATGTAAAGAAAGAATAATTCATAAAAGTTCCAAGAAGAACTTATGATTGAGTTCTATTTTGAGAATGTATTGAGTAACACAATATACAAACAAAAGTGCCCAAAAGGAATTGTTATTTACAAGGCCACAGAGGTGAAGAGCGCCTCTTCTTGAACTAATCTAGTAAGTCTATGAACATGGTGGCTAAAGAAGTACTTGGGTAAAGACAGGAGATTTTGAAACTGTTCAAAGAAGGAGACTTTGAAAACCAGTATAATAAACATAGCAGGGAATTTAGATTCTTTTCTTTTGAAATGAGAACTTGATAAATAGCTATAATAAAGAATAACAGAATCAAATTTTTGTTTTAGAAAGATGGTCAGTCAGATCTGTGAAAGAGTTTAGTGAGGAGAGGTTAAAGTCAGAGAAGCAATAATTAGATTACAGAAAAAAAAAGATGAAAAGGAGTGAGAGAAGGAAGGATATCAATGAAAAATGAAGGAACAATTGAAGAACATAACCCTGAGATTCAGAGGAAGAAGAAAGGCAAAAGTGAGGCTCAGCAGTTATCTACACAGAGAAAAAAGGTATCTAAGCGAAGTCAGCTACTTTTTAGAACTGTAATTTGAGCACATAGAAGATGAGAAACTGTTAAAATTAACGGGATTGCTGCACTTAGGGATGTAGAACTATTGTAAATGTAACGAGTATTTCTTCCAAATGGAGTTAGACATTTTAGCATCATAATTTTGTTCTAAATATAAAACAATAAATAGAAATAGATTTACACATAACCTACTAGTAGTAGAGGCAGTATTAACCAATATTGAAAATGCATTCTTAAGTAATCTGCTCATACGCTCACACCTGAGTACATTAAAGCCATAGCAAGATCGACTAGACTAAGCTTCACCTCGATTTCTTTCTTGGCTTTAGCTCTTTCTTCAGCATCTCTCTGGGTTTTCTCTACTTTACTTTTTTCTTCTGAATAACGTTTCATGCTGGATAAGGAGAATAAATAAGTGAAGAAAGATGGTCCAAATTTTCATGTTGCAAAATATTCGCTAAATACAGATAAACATTTAAGTCCCTTTGATGATTTTATGTTATCTTAACTTGCCCAAAGCCCCTTACATTTTGCAAATATATGTACATATGTATACACAAGTATATATTTACATGTGGATAGTGTCTTTCTATCCCTCTTTTAAATTATCCCAGCTGCAGTCATAACTTTTAAAGAAGACATTCCAGACCATAAACACAAATGCAATCTGTATCTACCAGTGTTTTTATTCCTGAAAATTTTTCTCTTATTTCATGGTTCTCATTCTGTCTTGAAGTATATAAACCTCTGCACATACCCATGGATTATTTCTGCTGTTAACCTCAAGCTTCTGGAAAGCAGGGATCTTTATTTATATATGCATTCACTCACTCACCATTCAGTTAGTAACTTTTTTTTTGGCAAGCACTGCACGAATCCTGAGGTGAGGTTACATTCGAATGCAACACAAACCTATCTTTTGTCCTCTGAGAATTCATCCCCTTGTAGAGAGGAGTAGTGACAACAATATGGTCATAGAAATAATTATATAATTAGCAACCGTAAAGTTTGTTATGAAAGACCTATAACCAAGGATTATGAAGTTTGAATTTTCAATTAAGACTTAGGACACCTTTTCCAAAAATGATAGTCTTAAAGTACAATCTATAAGAAGAGGGGACATCAGTTGGCCAAGAGGGGTGCCAAAATTAGGGTATCATACAGGAAAGACTTTGTGGATTTTATCTGGGTGTGGTTCACCTATAATTCACGTCTGTAATTCTAGCACCTGGGAGGCTAAGGCAAGAAGTTTGCCACAAGTTGGAGGCCAGTATGAGCTGGATAATAAGCTCCAGTCCAACTGACTTTACAGAGTGACACTTTGCCTCAGAATAAAAAATAGAGTTTATGGACTCAGAGGACTTGAAAAGGTAATTACATCTGTCTCTATTTGTACATTGTGGAATTTGACTTTCTAAAACCTATATAATCAGACATAAGTGTAAAGAATTTTTGGAAATGCACTATCAATTGTGTCTCAAGATAATTTCTGAAGATAAACAAAATCTCCTCACTTGCTTTACCCATTCTATTCTATGACTAGTTGTTAAAATGTTCAGAAAAGTCCCTGGATTTGCAAGTGTTAAGTCTTTTGTAAGCCTGCCTACTAACTGGAAAATGGACTTTACTTGTATCCAGACATAGATACAAAGCATTTGCTTGATGAAGCTATGCTTTGAGGAGGATATGAAACTGCTCAAATAGTTCACAGTGACAAGAACTGGACTCAGCCTTGCTTCCACTCCTACGAGTTCCCCATTTCCACCTGCACAGTGCTGTGTACTCACAACATTTCAGCACACAGGGCACATTTGTTGCCATGAATCTTGCCATCAGGGCCACGGATCGGGTCACTTTCCCGGGTACAAAAAAGTCTTCCACTCCTCACTTGGTTTTCAAATTCCTTGCAAAGTTCCTTTAAAAAGATAAGCAATTATATTTGCCATTTTGTAGTCATGAATCTTGAAACTTTGCATAGCTGATTTATAATCACACAGTGACAAGTCTAGAAATATTAGTAAACATAAAAAAGTATGAATGAGAACTTTTATCTTTTAAATTGTCATTATTTTTTCAAGTTATTTGGCATTCATATATTCTGTGTGGTGTACTTATTAAAGGTGAAGGAACTGAAGTGAGAGCAACTATTTTTTAAAACTAAAGAAAATTCTTGTTAATTTTCAAATCCTTGGGAAAAATGAAAAGACCTTTCATGAGTCTCCAAAACAGGACTAACAAAATGAAAATATGGAATTTGTGAAATTACAGTTTTTTAAGTTACTTGATATGGATCAGGTCAAGAACAATTCAGCATTGTTTGTATCAGGACGTGAAAAAAATGCTATTCAGTGGTTTGGTTTGTGATGCTTCCTTCGCCGATATTCATTTTTGACTTTGCAGTAAAAATCTCTAAGGTGGCAAATCTAACTAATGTTACCCTGACCTTTGAGAGCAAAACCATCAAAGCTAATACTTTTTGAAAAGTCCTTAAAAAGTGACATCCAAAAATGTAAGACGGATTTGCTTCCCGACTTCTTGATAGTTTGGATCAAGACTAATAGAAATCTACTATTTGGTAAAGGATAAACCTCATATGCACCCCCCCAGACACACACAAACATGCAATACCAAAAATTACTTAGCTTGAAGATCTCTGTATCAATAAACATACATTTTTTACTATAGTTTACTATTTTGTTATAGCATAACCTATTAAAAATAAGACAAATAACTAACTTTTCTTTTCAGCCAGGACCATGTGAACAGAGGGGCAGGGCAGGACTTGGGAGACCTGGGCAACTACACTGTAGCTCTAGAACTCACTGTAGACCCTTTCGAAGTCCCAGTATTTTGGGGATGATGATATTACCACCCACACAGTCAGATTTTTCTAGATAAGTATATTCTGATTTTTTTTCCTTTGCAGTCCATATTTCTTCCTTAGGATGCTTTTAAAAGGAATTCTATTTGTTTCCTACTTAGGGAGATGCTTGTTCTGAGAGGAATGATGGGTCTGTCATTCATTTCCTGGTAGTAATGACCTAAGAGTAAGATGCAGAAAGTAGCTACCTGATAATCATAACACAGTAATGAAATTAATGCTTGATGATTCCCATAAGAGAAACAATGATAATTTCAGTTTATAACTAGTGATTCACCAAAGAAGATTCTGAAGAAGCACTTTTGTGAGCAACCCACTGACAGGTTAATTACAGGGCACATATTGAGCCATCATTGAAAAGCAGTCCTATTCAGCCCAATGACTCCTAATGACCCTGGCCAGCACGAGGGAGAAGCCATGATCAGGCATAATGGAAAAAAGCCCTCTGTTTACAGAGTAATAGATGTGAAATATCACTTAGCCCAGGGTTTTAGGCTAAAATTTACAAACCGGAGTAAAGCATTGTTTTCAACTCTTGGTTAGTGTTGAATCATCCACAGAGGAGCTGAATACTTTGTTTTTCTAAATCAAGTTTCACACTGCTCAATTAAGGCTCAGAACTTTGCTTTATTAGATAGAATTATGAAGTAGAAGGTCATCTTTCCATCACCAAAAAGTTGTTCTGTTTCTACCATAGGAAAACATCTTCCTACAATCCACAAACCGTATATCTATGTTAGTTCAAAAGAGGATTGGAGGTGAGAACAGATGAACAAGAAGGTCAGAGCAAGGTCATTTATCCAACCTCCCTATTTTTCTGACAAAAAATATTCAATTGGCACAAGGAATAAATTTTGCACTAAACTGCAAAATTATGTTATATAATTTGTAAAAAACACACCCCACTTTATTTCAAGAGTTTTTAAGGGAATCATATTGAAAAAAATATTTATTGAAATAAATTTGAGTATTTTTAAGCTATCATCTCAATAGTTAAGATTTTCATTTAGGCAGAAGCAAGACCTTTTTAGTGAGGGTCTCAATGAATGAAATAACCATGTGGAAAAGTGAATAACTGAAACGCTGTCAATAGAATTTTATGGTAAAAAGATCAGCAGATACATTGCTTAAAATCTATTTTAATGTTATTTTCTGGATAATTTATATTATGCTGCATTTAAAAAAAATTCAAAGCAAAATTCTGTTCCAGAGAGAGAGAGAGAGAGAGAGAGAGAGAGAGAGAGAGAACTGTGGAAATGGGAAGAATGACATAGAACAAAATATAATAATGCTTATGTGCGAAAATGCCATTATGAAACCCATTTTTTTGTATGCTAAAATAAAAAGTTAGTAAAAAGAAAAGAAACTGATGGAATTTTGCACACATAAGCTTTCTGTCTTACATCTCTCTTTGCTGGAGTGTGGAAAAGGAGTAGAACTGTCATATTTTGAAACAAATATGAAGTTGGTTTAGATATGAATTTAATGATAAATATACTAGAAATAGCCAGTTTGAGGACTTTGAACAAATAGGAAATACAGGTTGTAGTGCGAGGCAAGGACACTTGGTACTGCAAATGTTCAGATGTGATTTTGTTTGTTTATGGTCACAAGAATTACATTGCTGCAGTGAGCTATTTACCGTCTCAACATCTCTCCGAATTCTGTTTTCTTTCTCACGTGTGGCATTTGCTTCAGCTTCTTTTAAACTGTCAAGAAAACAGCAGGTTATTTATAGATCAGTCATTTTTTCCATGTTCACCCTGTGCTGAACACGAAGCACTTTCATATTCTATGCCATGATCTGTTGAAACCCATCCATGTACTGAAGACAAGCACTTTCCTGTCTTGACTGCTGGAGACCAAGAAATTGCCAAAGATAAGGAAGGGTGTGAGACTGACTCACTGACAGTCAATTAGAATCTTTGTTCTCCAGAACTAGATGGGTGTGCCACTGTGAGTGACAAACAGAAGATTGCCAGGAAAATATCCTTTAACAGGCAGAACCAAGAGCTTTGAAACAATGCTGTGACAAGAGTGAAACCAAACTGAGCCTTAAAGGGATTGCTGTCCACACCCTTCTGTGGAACTTCTTAAACTATGTAAGATACTGGTTTGCCTTCCTATAAGTGTACAGTTGTTCCCAAGAGCTAAATTTGAATTCAGCTTCTGAACCTTTTGTCGTTTATTACCAGTTGGTCTCATCCTGCCATCCTGCCATCTTAGTTATACTCTGAAGGAAAATAGTTCAGAAAGCACAGATTCTCCTATTCCGCTAGAACATGAAATGAGTAAGTATATAAGAAAAATCAAAACATTTTGGGTTAGCTTTAACAGTGAAAATGCATGCCTCTTAGGTAAGATAGTGGAAATCTAACTGGATTCTTGTGTGGAAACCAGTGCTAGTCAGGTCTCTTGAGCCTGACAGGACATGCCCTTGAATTCTACATGAGCTCTCTGCAACTTTCAAAGGATGGTAGGAAGTTTTTTAATCTGTTAAATCTTTTTCTACTCTGATTTTAAAATCCAGTGATGTAAATGTAATGCTCTAAGGCTGGCAGCCATAAGGATTACAGCCTACATCTTGTTTAGCAGACAGAACATGAAAATCTAATTGCCTTTTATTCAAATCTGGGTCTACAGTGCCTAAATCCACGCAGCTACTAAGAAAAGACGAACCCAACATTTCCTGTTTATGACACTCACCGTTTACACTAAGAACAAATCAGACACATAGCATCATTATCATTATTAATATCATTATTAATATTACTTTAGCTATTATTATTTAAAATTAGATGTTATTACTTAGGAAGGCCTCTACAAGTGCCCAAAGATGGCAATGTATGTCAGATGCTAACCTGGATTATTCAACATGTATTTTCCAAGTCTATTTTTAAACTTCTTTGGTTAGCATAGAAGTATTAGCATTTTCAAATACAGTGCATTTTAATAGTCTCTTCCCCATCTCCCCTATGCCTACCTCCAAATCTTAACCTATTATCTTACAACACACTGAGTGTTTTCAAGGCATTACAGTTTTTTTAATGAAGTTTCAAATTTAGTAACTAACATGACCACGTTATCCTTTTCTTTTGGGAAATTTTAGTACTGAAAAGAAAAAAAGGAAAAGAAAGCAATTTTTCAGCAAGGTTTATTTCATACTATAAAGACACACGCATCATGAAAAGGAGAACGCACATCATGCAAAGGACTTTATCCTTCTGTGGGGATCTCAGGACAGAAAGGAAGGCTTCTTCTCAAATCTGTCACCAGTTGGGGTTACTTACAAGAGCTCAGCACACATCGCACACCGATTGCCATGTGTCCTCCCATCAGGACCTTGAATTGGATCACTTTCCCTTGTACATCCAAGCCGTCCATTTTCCACAAAGGCCCGAAAATCACTGCACACATCCTAGAGAAAGCGAAAGGAGCTTGGCAGGCGACAATGAGACTGAATGCTTGCAACACAACTTTTAGAAATTTTTATGGAATTTCTGATGGGCAGTGGAGTAGTGCCAGTCACGCAGAACCAACTCTGAGCACTGCATGGTTTAAGTACAAAGCTTATTACTGACTCACTTGTTCAAGAAATAGTGGCAGTTATGTGACAACTCAAGTGGAACACTGTCTTTGCCCTCAAGTTGTTCACAATGTGTCAGGTGATGTAGATCAAGGGATACTTGGAATAGTATCTACTAAAAGCATTGGTGGAGGTTGAAAAACTCAGGTATTTGAAGAGCATACAGTAAGAATATCAAACCATGAAAATTAGAATGATGTTCAACTAGATTCAAGTATGCCATGTGTGGCTCTTACTGCCCTCACCTACAATCAAAGGTTCATGGAGTCATAACATAAAAAATTGCTACTTAGTGTCAATCACATTTCAAGTCAGCTGATTTGTACAAAGTTTCCCAATAGCAAGTGACAGTGCTGCAGTTTCAAATCGGATGAAATGATTGAAGTCAAGTGCCTTTTTCCCACTGCTCAGGCAAATTTCTTAAGTTTCTAATTTTTTTATAGCAGAAATATAGCTGAAAAATCTTAGTATCAGAGTAAACTGATCCAGGTTTAAGAACTAACAGTTCTTCCTCCATGTTAAGAGGTATCAGAATTCCAGCAAAGCAAGAATCACTTTCTACCAAGCATCCCACCTAAGGAAGAAGGAGCACATTTGCTTTTGTCGTTAAGTTGGCTCTAGTGTTTCTCACACTGACACTTCCTCACCTCTGGAGCGTTGCTGTCACATTCACCTTCACTTTTTATGCCAACTTGTTTCTTGCTTTTCCTGGAATCAATAAGTGTGTAGACAAAGCAATTACTACAATAGAATTGACCACCATGTCTAGGGTACAAATTCACCTCAGATGACAAAGTTAGGGCTTGTAATTAGATGTTCAGTTCCTCTCCAATACCTTTGTTGGTGCTTTTACCATTATTACCTTTTTTAAAAGGTCAAGTTTAAATTATTCAGCATTCTTTTACACAGCTCTTCTGTACTAACTTGCAGTTTATTCTTCATGAAATGTACATAAAGTCTTATTCTTAACTTTTTTAGTCCTGTAGAACTTTAAAGAATATCTGAAAACATAGTAACATGTATGTAAACTAATTTCTACTTTGTAAAGAAATAGATTATAATTCTGCATGTATGTAATAATAAAAGCAAAGTTGTTCAAAAACAAAAATAAGCAACCAGCAGTTGTATAAAAGCATTTTCAAAATATATAGGCTGACAGAGACTATGAAAAGTAACTTCTAGGATCTAAAGAGGCCAGAGAACTTAGATTAGAATTTAGAACCACTACTGCCATTTTCCTAGACATTATAATCTGTAACTGTATTTTTATTTTATTTTTTTAGACAGGGTCTCTCATGTATTTCCAGTTGACATGGAACTCACTTTATAGAACAGGAAGACCTCAGATTCACAGAGAACCACCAGGTCTGCCTCCTAAGGGCTGGGCTCAAAGGCATGGACCACATGCCCAGCTCTAACTGTATTCTAAATACTTATCCTTAGACTCACATAGAAGTGTAATTTTTACTGATTTTTGCAATAGATGGGGACTATTACAAAGTTCTACTATTCAAAATGAAGATAAGTGACTCTCAGGTGCCCAACCCCAATTAGTACATCTTTATTGTAACCCCTACATCTAAGGTTCATGGAACACTGACAAAGAGGGGATGGAAAGATTGTTAGCTCCAGAGGACCAGGAAGACTTCTGCAAGATAGTGTCAAAAGACAATTTGACAGGGAAGCTACACCTGTGTAATCTCAGCAATAAGATAGCCTAAAGAACACCCGCATAATGCAATGCCAATTGACATACTTTTCTATAATTGACAGAAAATTAATGGCTGCTGAGAGAGGGAGAATCAGTTTTCTCCCTGGTACATTGTCCAATCTCAAGTGGGGAGGTTTACATGTGCATGTAAGCAAGACCAAGTGGATTTCATAGGTTTTATATATACACAGCAGAAGAAAAGGTCATGACTTTAACAGTGAATGCGTGTAGGCAGTATGTACAGTACCCATGCATGAAATTCTCAAAAAACTAAAATAATAATAATAAAATAATAATAATAAAAGAAACTTGGAACTTCAATAATGTTCTGGAGTCTTCTAGAGGCCAGAACTAAGAAAAACACAGCAAGTAGTAAGATATTATGAGAGGAAAAAAATCACCCAAACAAGATAGTTAAACATTTAAAATAATAGGATTACTCGTGACATACATTTAAATGTGCAGTGTGTTTCAAGCTATAGAATAAAATATGTATCTTAAAAAAGTTTGAATGCTTATTTGCTATTTAGATTTTTAAATTTTTCATTACATTTATTTATCATCTAGGCATTTATTAATTTATTTATTTATTCATTCATTTTGTGCGTGTCTTTGTATATTCATGTGTGTATAAGTGCACAGTTTTGCCACAGCACTCCTGTGGGTCAGACTAAAACTTGCAGGATGTGGTTCTCGCCTTCCACCCTGTGGGTCAGAGGGATAGACCATGGTCTGTAGGGTTTGAGGCCTGTGCTTTTACCCACTGAGCCATCTCACCGCTTCCGGTTTTCTATTTCCTCATGCTCGCTCCTGGGGATTGCCAAGAGCAATCTAAAAATGCAGTCATGAGGAGGATCAGGAGGGCTTACTGCAATCTTGTTTTGGTGAGATACAAGGAATAAGACTTCCAGAATTTCAAAGAATAAATTTTATCCTGACCGCCTTCTCAAACGTTGGGGGTTGTGTTTCCAAAAGCTGAAGAGCAGATCCTTCAAGACCGAGATCATAGCAGAACGAGCAGAGCAGGTGTGCGTTTTGTTGGTGGAAGATAATCAATAACCAAACAAGCACCAAGGGTGGAAGGAGAACAAAACAGGCAAATACAGGCCAGTGAGATAGTTTATCCAGTTGACAAGAAGTTCTATACTGGAAATTCCTATTATATACTATAACATTTTAAATTACTGAACACTTAAACAGAGCTTGATGATGAAATCATTCTGTGCATGAAAGGATATAATCAGAGTTAGACAGATTGCTAGATGACTGAGGATGAATACATGTAAATCTCCTTCTGTGTTTGTAGCATCTATTTGTGTGTATATATTTCTGTGTGTGTGCATGTCCTGTTTACTTCACAGAGACCAATCGATGCAGTAGTGCTTTGTAAAATATGAAGTATATTCCTGTATACATTTTCTAATTAAGAGTAGGAGAATAAGTGATACTAAAAGTTTATGGACAACTAACGCCAAATTAATTACCATCTACTGCAGGAACACCATGTGTCCTGTAACTCCTCAGATAATATAGCTGTTTCAGAGAACACTCACTCATTCTCAGCACACAGCTCACATCTGCTGCGGTATGTTTTCCCATCTGTGCCACAAACTGCAGAAGCATCACCTGTACAGATAAAATTCGCATCTTTTCTTCCTTTCTTGAAATCCTCACAATCCAGCTGTAAGAGACATGATTAATGAACATCCAAGAGACAAAGTAGCCCTTAGAAACAAAACTGGTTAACATTTTAAACCCAGAAAAAAAATTGAGACCAAGGAGCTAATAAAATCATGGATTCTGAGAGGATGATTTCAGCCATCTGCTGTCTGGTGAGAGAGGCCAAGCTCCCATTATGAAATTCAGTAAACTGTGTCTTAGCTAAATCCTACTTGTAGTTACCACAGAGTAAAAATGAGGCCCAGCAGAAAATACAAAAGAAAACTCTCTGTAAATTATAAATTATAGAAAAATTTCCAATATTATAATTAGGAATAGTGATTAAGTCATATTTCTAGCTTCTCAATTATAAGGCTACTACTGTGTGATTAGGTCAGGTAATTTATCTATGCTTAAGTATCCTAATTTAAAAATGGGTATAATTTCACCAAATGTTCCATGCTGCAAGGATATTAAATATGCTAATAAGGTACAGTGTAATACAACAGACCTACTACATCATAATGATTTTTATTATTGTTGTTACTTAAAATGTTTTCTCTACTGATGATCAGGCAGAGAGATCTAAACATTCTTTGAGGATGATGGGAAGAAATCTCTAAATCACTCTTGTAATAACATGACATAGACTTAAAGACAAACCTGTATGGTGAGGAAATAATTGCACCAGCCAATAACTGAAGACAAATGGTCAAACCTCAAATCAGCTACCCACTCATTTCACCTCTTTGAACCTCACTTTCTTCATCTGAAAAATGGGAATTCACACCCTACCCACATTCCACATTTGTGGTAAGGATCAAATAATTAATTATGAAATGTAATTTGTCAACTATTATTGTGACATATGCTAACCAAAGAATATGCAGACATAATTTGAAATTAGCTTCAATCTAAAAACTAAATAAAAATAACTGGAGCCCCATTTCTTCACCTAAGCCATCACACTGAAAACCAAATTTTAGTGTTTTTAAAATACTTCAATGTTATATTTGGAACATATCATATGTATCTGTAATGAGTTAGTATGTCACAAATATAAAAAAGTAAAATATATGCAAATATATAATGAATTTCTCAATCAGAGGATCAGAATGTAGAATTCGCATAGAGGGAAAAAGATTAAAGTAGTGAGGAAAAATGTAGCCCTATCTCACCGTTTATGCCATATGTGTAGGAAAAAGTCACAAATAGAGTAGAAATAAAATAATTAGTGAAAAAAGTTATTTTGTTCATTTGTTCTAGCATTAATTCCAGAAAATTTATTACACATTTATAAGACTTTGGTTAGTCTACTTTATTGTGAGATCTCTACAGTAAACAGAAATGGAATAGTGTTCTAAGGAGTTTGTACACCAATAGGAATAAAATGACAATGTTCACAGCAATTTTAGATTTTTGAGTAGATTCACCAGAAGGGAAAGTAGTGGGGAAGGGCTGGGGTGCTGACAACACAGCAGACAGTAGCAGGGATATCAGAGTATAAGGGCTCTAGTGGTGGAAAGGAGGCTATGGGAGGGTGCCATCTGGGAAGTAGATGTATAGTCGAATGAGATAGTTTGGGATGTTCTGTGTGATAAACACACACACACACACACAATCAACAAATTTTTTAAAAATGTATTATATTTGAGGAGGAAGCATGGAAATTTATGTCATGTTAATTAGTAGAGGTGATAAACATTACCATTGAAATCTACCCAATGACTTTATAGACATACACAGGCACCAAGGATCCAAGTGCAATCGATTATGACTAGTAATAATCAGATACATACAGATTAGAGATGCATGCGCCAACATCTCAGTGTTAGTAGCAAAAACAATGAGTCTTTCTGCAAGGAACAATATATTCTAAAATGAAATGGAGATCTTTTTTAAAGGTTAAAAATGCTCATCCAATTTTATATCTTAGAGGGCTTATACTGAGTTCAGTATTGTATAACTGTATTAACTCAACTGTGAACTTAGTAACTTGCACCCCCTTGTGAAAGAGATGTACTGATTTGGAGTGTGTTACTGAATATGTTAAAGCTGTTGTGAAATGCTTCTTCTAATCATGTAGTTACTAAAAATAAAAAAAATAATTCTTCAAAGCATAAAAATTTGCTCCTTAATAATTAGTAGATGTGAAAAACATTACCATTTAAATCTACCTGATGACTTTATATCCATGCTCAGATGCCAACAAGCTCAGAAAGTAACTGAGTGTGACTAGTAAGAATCAGATATATAGAGATTAAAAACACATGGGCAAACATCTTAATGTCAGTTGCATTAAAATGAATTTTTCTGTATGAAACTGTGTATTTTAATAATGAAATGGAGATCTTTTTTAAAGCTTAAAACCTCATTTAATTTTATGTCTTATAAGGTTTATACTGAGTACAATATTGTTTAAGTGTAATAATTCAACTGTAAACCTAAAAATTTACAGCCAATTTTGAAAGAGATGCATCTTAGCTCAGGAAATTGTTATTGAATATGTCAGTGCTGTTGTAATGAAATGCTTCTTCTAAGTATGTGGTTAATAAATAAATATTTTTTAAAAATGAGCCAAATAATGAAGAACTGTGTGTAATGATCAACCTTTAGTGATAGGAGGGAATGTCTAAAGGGGACAAAATTTGTGATAGCAGATTGTCCTGCTCAAGAGGTGGAAACAGACTGGTTGTGACATAAGGAAAACTCAAGTGAGCTCATGATTTTCTCTAAAATATTTGTAGAAGGCATAGAAGCACAGGAAGTTATGGATCAGCTTGGAATAATCACTGCTATCGCCCTTCACCAGAAAATCAATGCATCATACTAGGTCACAGGTGTCGGCTGGGGGAAGACAGGTCAAATAAAACGACAGCTGGGAGGTGACGAGAACAGGTGCATGCACTGACTACTCCACCTTCTTGCCCTCTTAACTCCTGGCTAGTGAGTCACAACTTATCAAAACCACCCCTTCTTAATGTTAGCAATTACTGAGCACTCATAGATGGACCTGACTGTTGGAATGGCAGCCAGCTGAATGGGTTTCAGAGCATGAGGAGCTTGGCCTTATTCCTTGTTAGCACTAGATTCATCAGAAGCTTAACCCTGAACGTGAGTTAGCTCATTTTAGCAGAAAAAAGCTGGGGCCATACTTCAGAATTAAAACACTGGAAAACATGGATCAACTAAAGCAGAATTGGCACCATGAGAGGAATAATTTATCAAAAGTATTCTTCAAAGAAATAAAAGAAATTGACATTATGAAACAGAATAATAGAAATCACAGAGTAATGGCAAAATGCAGTAGAATATTTGTACTTAGAAAATATTCCAATAGTAATGAATTAAACAATATGAAGAATAAATGTGCGCAGGTGTAAATAAGTAGTGAATTGTGAACTCAAGGTTCAGGTCAAAGAAGTCCCCTAAAAGCAATAGCAATGGAACCTTTTAAAACAGAAAAGCCAAAGAATATAAAGAATAGGATTAGAAGTACCCTAAAGGGGAGAAATAAATACAGAAATAAATGTCTAAGCAAGGAAAGAAAATTCATAAATTTGATTAAAAAATTAAAGATGACTAGAAAGGCAGAAGTAACCATAGCAACTGAATAACAAATAACCATAGCAACTGAAAGCCAGAACCTAGCTAATCTCAAAATTGTAGCAGCTATGATAATTTCAGACTATACATTGAGAAAAAGTTAACAAACTAGGTAGAACACAACTATTAGCAATATATATATATATACACATACGTAATATAAACACTTGAAAGTATGAATTTTAAGGTCAGGGCAATCATAATAACCATAAAAATTGGTATGCTATATTTAAATATTGCCAATAGGTAAATGGAAAAAGGAAACTACTGTAAAACTAATTTTCATAATTGCATATGGTACAAATGAGAACAAAAATCAGAGAATCAGAGAAATGGTTCTAATGTAATAAAATAAGTGCAAATGGATTAAAGCCATAAGACACAGTGATTAGATCTTTAAAAACAGCATCAAACTATGTAATGATCACAAGAGAAACATTAAAAATTAAAAATGTTAAAAATATTAAAAATCATGTAATGGTTAAACCATGTGGATCACAAAACAAGAAATGGACATGATATGAGAAGGTGCTTGTAGGGAGGCAGGGAGACAAGGTGCTACAAAGGTGAGAGGGAAACAGGAGAGTTTAGAGGTAGGAGGAACCAGAATTTTACACATGTATAAAGTTGTCAAAGGATAAATTTAATAAAGTTGGCTTTCCTAGTAGAATATTTTATTAGAAGAGCTATGATAAAAATAATTCCCACAGATAAATTTCATATCAATCCTATTTTTCTTTAACAAAATTAGATAGATAAAAAAGAGAAAAGAAAAATATAAGAAGGTATACAAATATTAAAAAAATAAAATAATGAACAGAAAGTGAGCAGGTGCAGCAACAATAACACTTAGAAAATAGACTAGAGTCTAAATGCATAATTACTGATAAGGTAGACTACTATACAAAATAGAAGGATGAGAACAAGAATGTGTAACCACAATAATCATACATTTACCCAGTAACATAGACCCCAAGTCACTGAAATAATGAATAGTATAGAATAGCATTAGATAAATCAATCACTAAAATGATAAGCCATAACAAAAACTCAGAAACTGATATATTAAAGAAAAATTAGGGACATCTGGTATATTTTTGTAGAAAACCTTACCAAGGGACAAGAAAATAAATACTCTTTTATGGAACATATGAAGCAATTATAAATAGATTGTATGCCAGGTCATAAAGAAAGTCATAAGAGTTCCTGAATAACCAATTTCATATGGTCTATTTTCTAATCACATTTCTTTAAAATTTAAACTTAATATGACAATAATAACACATATGTGAGTATAAAATCATGTATTACTAAATTACTTTGAAATTGATAGTGTTGTTAAATATTTGGCTAATGAACACAAATGAGAACATCTGAAGTAGACTGTAGAGCATTAATATTTTATGTACTTAACAG